CCCTCCCAGCCCCTCCTTCTCCCGCTGAGGCCTGTGCCTGGACCTTCCCTCCGCCCCCCGCCCCCCACCCCGGGCCGTCATCCTACCGCCTGCGGGGAGGGCTTCTCTGGGCCGCCCCGCTTAACAGCACGAGGCCAACCCGGTCTGTCTGCCCCCGAACCCTGGCAATGAATGGTCAGGCTGCGGACTCGGGTGGGGGAGAGTTGGAGGGGGCAGAAGAGCTGATCAATGTGGAAACAGCTGCCCTGGCGGGAGGGCACTGGGCGGCCCCTGCCGGGGCCGTGCCCCCCACGCCCAGCCTGGCCATGGGCCGGGAAGGGGCACGTGGCAGCACGCGGCAGCCCCCGCGTTGGCACAGGGGGAGGGTAGAAGGAGTCGGTCGGAGGCCCGGGAAGGGGGGGCGGGGCAGGGGGTGGGCAGATGCCTGGCCTTGGAAAGGCATCCCGGGCACCCACGTGACGCTGAGTTTCTGACAGTAGGTCCTCACTGTCGGGCGGCTCCTGGAAGGTTAAGGAAATCCAAGGACGAAAGGTGAGTGCAGACACGAGCCGGGCTGCACCTCCCCGTGCCCATGGCGCCTGAAGCGGGGCAGAGCTGACGGAGGGACTGGGGTGCCCGGCCCCAGCCTTCAACCCCCCCACCCCGAAGCCCCTCAACTCACCCCTGCCTGCTCCCTCCACTGCCCCTACCCCCTGGGGGGGTCTCTGGGGTGAGGGCAGGGCAGCCCTGACCGACCTGAGAGCCCGGGCGCCTGCGGGAGAGCGGAGGGGGTGCGGTGGGCAGTGCCCACCTGTGAGTGGGGGGAAAGGGTGTGGCAGTGGGTCCCCCCCCAGCCTATCCTCCCCCAGACCAGGCCCCGACATGTCTGCGGACTGGGAGTTTGGGAGAGGGCGGGACAGCCAGCAGGCTTGGCCACACGGCGGCCCTAAGACCTTGGTCACCTTGGTGGGCCTCCCTGGGCCTCAGTCTCCCCCCTCCGTGAAATGGGGGAAACAGTCATCTTGACTTCCGAGCAGAGAGAACGCGTGTTCCCGGCTTGCCACGTGGCGCATGCTTGGAAATGGAAGTGGTCTTAATTAACTGGCTAACTGATATCAATCACGGCTATTAACGTAGGTCCGGGACCCACCTCGGTCCCTCGACCACAGCCAAACCCCTCTTACTTTTC